CCTTAGGCTTATATCGATGTCCAGGCAAAATTTCCCTCGTTGTCCACGCCTGGGTAGCCTTCATTAAAGCAGGGCATAAATTCTAGGGCGTTCATTCCTTTGTTCCCTTAATGAAAATGGACCCCGATGAAAAATGGAACTTTAAATTCCATTTCATTCCTTTAGGATCTCTGAATAAATTTCCCTCTTTGCACACTTCTTGGCGTGGCCAATCTTCATTAACCTTTGAGTCCCTTTAACTAATATAAATATGAATATATCATAACTACTGGTCCAATATCACTTTGTATTGGACCATTGTTATATGATAAAGGGCCAGGGATATGGGTATTTTGTAACTTGTGTATGAGCCCTTTCATTATTGTGAGAGTATTACACGCTCATAAATAGGATTAGTCCGAGATCTTGTCCTTCGATCTTCAGTATCAAGTCCATTCGATTCAGCTGGAAATGGGCACGGGCAGTCCGGGAAAGATTAATGTCAAGAGGTTTGGTCAAGGACCAGCTATAATAGACGAGGTCCAGGAACATCTGTTAGGGGATATTTTGACGTCTGTTGGAGGATATTTTGACGTCTGTTTATGATTAGTTTGACGCTTCAGGATATTTTAGACGTCTGAGGATATTTTGACGCCTTTTGGAGGATATTTTGACGTCTGTTTATGATTAGTTTGACGCTTGAGGATATTTCAGACGTCTGAGGATATTTTGACGCCTTTTGGAGGATATTTTGACGTCTGTTTGGAGGATATTTTGACGTCTGTTTGAGGATATTTTGACGTCTGTTTGGAGGATATTTTGACGTCTGTTTGGAGGATATTTTGACGTCTGTTGGTGGCTATTTTGACGTCTGTTTGGAGGATATTTTGACGTCTGTTTGAGGATATTTTGACGTCTGTTTGAGGATATTTTGACGTCTGTTTGGAGGATATTTTGACGTCTGTTGGAAGCTATTTTGACGTCTGTTTGGAGGATATTTTGACGTCTGTTTGAGGATATTTTGACGTCTGTTTGGAGGATATTTTGACGTCTGTTTGAGGATATTTTGACGTCTGTTTGGAGGATATTTTGATGTCTGTTTGGAGGATATTTTGACGTCTGTTGGGAGCTATTTTGACGTTTGTTGATGGTTAGTTTGACGCTTGAGGATATTTTGACGTCTGTTTGAGGATATTTTGACGTCTGTTCGGGGATATTTAGACGTCTGTTGATGGTTTGTTTGACGTTTGAGGATATTTTAGACGTTTGGGGATATTTTGACGCCTGTTGGAGATATTTTGACGTCTTTTGAATATAATTTAATGTATATACTTTTCTGTCTGAGGATATTTTGACGTCTGTTGTCTGAGGATATTAGGGGCAAGAGACTCGAATCCAGTACGGCGGATTACTAGTGTCCAGGGATTCGGACTACAATTGAATAAGTCAATAAGTGTCGAAGTATTGACATGTATAATGAATAGTTGCCGGGGTTCAATTCAACGTTAGCTTATCACTAACTCACTCTATTCAAAGTGGAATTTAATTTCGATATTCCGTGTTCTAGGACGCCTAGATCAATTTGAGAGTGTCGTATATTAACCCTTTTTCCACGGGATTTTGGATCGGATTTAGATTTTGGATGGGATTCCCGTAAGTATACCGGTATGATTAAGCTAGGATCATGATTTGGTCAGTTTAGTTGGTCTGTCGTTATTAACTTCATCATGGCCAGACAAATAGGACGTTAACCTTCATTTCAATTTAGTTTAGCTGGATTTCATGATTTTGTAAATATTATTGGAATTCATGACGACGGATTTTTTAAGTATAGTCGGAATTCGTGGCCATGATTTTGCAGGTATAGTTGGAATTCATGGCCATGATTTTGTAAGTATAGTAGGAATTCATGACCATGATTTTGTAAGTATAGTAGGAATTCATGACCATGATTTTGTACATATAGTAGGAATTCATGGCCATGATTTTGTAAGTATAGTTGGAATTCATGACCATGATTTTGTACATATAGTAGGAATTCATGACCATGATTTTGTACATATAGTAGGAATTCATGACCATGATTTTGTACATATAGTAGGAATTCATGACCATGATTTTGTAAGTATAGTTGGAATTCATGACCATGATTTTGTACATATAGTAGGAATTCGTGACCATGATTTTGTAATTGTACTTGGAATTTATTTTGGAGGTAAGGCTTGACGTTAGGCTTGTATTTGAGTGAACACAAAGTTGTAGATTTCCGGGTTCTATAAACCTAGAGGTGTTTCCGAAAGCAATGGTATGGGTCCTGGTTGGTCATATCCACAAATTGCCAAGGTGTTCAAACGAGAGCAAAATACTCACACCTTTTCTTGTTATTTTCAGATTTTGGTGATCAACTGTTAGAAAAGGACATACGCTGAACAGAGTTATCAGTACATTGGACAGTCTCGATAGGAGGCAGCAGTTATGGAATACGGCAAAGCAGCTACGGCTACGTGAAAGGTCATCAAGAGGCAAGATGGGTGAGACGTATCTGCATGTGACCTCGCCTGAGGTCTACAGCAAGCGATTTTCGGAGTACGTGAAACAGTTCCACTCGGAAGACTCTGATGACGTTACTAAAGATGATAAACGCCAGAAGGTCAAGAACGAGGAGGCGAAACGCGACGCCAGGGGAAAACGCTTTATTCATTCCAAACGGATGAGTGAATCGAACATGTTACCTCCGATCAACGTAAAGACGGATGTGAGCTCTCCGACCTTCACTAACGGCATGTGGTCGTTCCGTGGATCCAACAGAGCTACCCAAGGATCCCTTATGCGTAGTGTTGCAATAACAAACGGATCTCAACTCAAAGAATCTCATGCGTCTCCGGCTCGACGTCATGCTGGCAACAAATTGTCCAAAACCGTTCCGATGACTACTAGCTTAGACGTAAATAAATCTCCAGACTCCTTACGGCTTACTCCGATATTCAAAACGGAGAAAAGAGCCAAAACGGACAAGAAAAACGTTTCCAAATCAAGTGAAAATACTCCTCGACTGGTACCTAACGATTCTCAAAAGCACAAAAGCAAGGGCCAGAAAAATTCAAAACACAAGAATTTGGAAGAACCGTTTTCTATCCGCCGCAAGATCGAGCAGTTTAAGAGATATCACGAAGAACAATACTTGATCAAACTGCAAAAACTGAAGCAGGACTCGGAAATTAAAATCGAACTGTCCAAACGGAGGCCATCTCCTGTGAAGGAGCACGTCGCAAAGGAACGAGAGGTACCTCGAATCCGGAGCTTGGACAAGATCTCGTCCAGAACGGATCAAGACACAACGACGTCAGCAGATGATGCAGATTCTGGAAACGAGTCGGCGTTTAATTTGTCCACGATCATCAAGTCGACGGCTAGTCGGCAAAAATCGGCGAAAACGTGGAGGACATGGCGAGACGTGAACGACTCTTATGCGTACACTGATGTCAACAAGTATATTGTGGACAACGAGTTGATGACTGCCGAAAAAGCGGAGTGGATCCGAGATTGGACTGTGAATGTGAACAAGGAACTGTTTCAGAATAATGGAACTCAAAGGGAGTGAAGCTCCTTAGGGTCGGCAACAGACGTTTTCGTTGGGACAAGATTTGGGGAGTTTCTTGTGCAAGAGGTTTGAGCCAAGGACTAGCTGGTAGACACGGTCCTAAAGAACCTCAGTTGAAATCCATAGGAAAAAGGATGTCTAAAAATAATTCTATAAAATCCAGATACCAATGGGGATCACCTAAAAAGGGTCAAGGGAAAAAGCTAGACGGAAGATTAGCATCTAGCTGTTTGTTAATTTATTTCATATGTATTTATAGTATATAAATCTATATACAGATGGCAGAGTGTCTTTATGTTCCCAATTTCCCAGCGGAGCATGGTGTCTTTATGTTCCCAATTTCCCAGCGGAGCATGGTGTCTTTATGTTCCCTATTTCCTAGTGGAGCATGGTGTCTTTATGTTCCCCTTTTCCCAAGTGAAGCATGGTGTCTTTATGTTCCCCTTTTTCCATGTGGAGTATGGTGTCTTTATGTTCCCTTTTCCTAGTGGAGCATGTTGTCTTTATGTTCCCCATTTCCTATGTGGAGCATGGTGTCTTTATGTTCCCCATTTCCCAAGCGGAGCATAGTGCCTTTATGTTCCCCATTTCCCAAGCGGAGCATAGTGTCTTTATGTTCCCCATTTCCCAAGTAGAGCATAGTGTTTTTATTTTCCCATTTCCCAAGCGGAGCATAGTGTCTTTATGTTCCCAATTTCCCAGCGGAGCATAGTGTCTTTATGTTCCCAATTTCCCAGCGGAGCATAGTGTCATTATGTTCCCAATTTCCCAGTGGAGCATAGTGTCTTTATGTTCCCAATTTCCCAGCGGAGCATAGTGTCATTATGTTCCCCTTTTCCCAGTGGAGCATAGTGTCTTTATGTTTCCAATTTCCCAGCAGAGCATGGTGTCTTTATGTTCCCAATTTTCCAGCGGAGCTTGGCGTCTTTATGTTCCCAGTTTCCCAGCAGAGCATAGTGTCATTATGTTCCCCATTTCCCAAGTGGAGCATAGTGTCATTATGTTCCCCATTTCCCAAGTTGAGCCTCGCCCTCTGGCCTGTGACAGCTCCAAAGTCATCTGCGGCCATCTGAAATTCTCTGGCATCTGGGTGCCTCTGGCAGGCCTTTGGCCCTTCAAACCTTGCCATAGAACACCCTTATTTTTTTTACCTCTCCTAAGGCATTTTTCTGCCCCTACATAGGCCTCTATTCCATGCTGTGCACATAGTACACTTTGACAATTGCATACACACATAACATAACTTATATATTAACATAATTTATATATTAACATAATTTATATATTAACATAATTTATTCAATATACATAATAAAAACATACACATTATTTTTGTGTTCTTCACTTTTCACAAGGTACCCAAAATAATGCGATTGGGTATTAAAAGATAGCAACCTAATAGTACCCATTGACCCAAGGCAAAACAAATTGCACGGAATACTTTGTTCAATATTCAGAGTCCACATGGTTAATAATTTATATCGGAGTTCACATTATAATATTGGTATTTGAGTTTATCAACTCGTCTGTTTTATAGAGTTCACATGTTGTTTAGAAACTGTGTATGACAACTCTTCTTCCCTTTATGAGAGTCCACATAACCAATTTTTCATTATGGCATCCTTCCCAGAGAGTTTATTTCCTTTATTGTTTTGTCAACTTGATATCCCTTTCAGAGAGTTCACATTACCAATTATGTCTATTGCATAATTGGTATAGTCAATTCAGAGAGTCCACACAGTATTTGACAAATTTCAATCATACATTGTAAAATTCTTTCAGTCTCTCCACCGATGTCCACAAGCCATGCTGCAACATTTATAGAAGGTTGTCATAGGTTCATCAGCCGAGCGTGTCTGAATCTGCATAAAAAATGCTCTGTTGTGTTCACATTTCGGACAGGTTTCTGAAAAACAAATGTAAACATATTAATGATAAGTTGAAATTTTCTCTAATGAGAGCCTATCCACCTAAAGTGTCATTTGTACCACTGTCGAAACTATTACAAAAAGTTGGGTATAGTGGACACTCTCCAGAATATAATCAAAAGAGAAAGTGGAAAGACAAAATTCTCTCTAATTTGAACCTTCTTCAAAAGAATCAAAAAGAAAATCATGCACAAATCAGAATTCCAGAATCATACAATAAGATGTCTATTGGTAAGTGAAGCGAAATTTTCTTAAATTGGAACCTATCCCCATTTCATTAGAAAGCATAATCAATACACAGAAAAGCTGGCAAAAACACAGAATTAGGTAGGAAGTCAAATTTTCTCTAGTTTGAACCTATCCCACATTCTGCAGAAACAATTAACCAATACACTAAAAGACAACAGCAATCCAAAGATAGTTGAAAGTAAATTTTTCTCTAATTCAAACCAATCCAAATACTACAGTACAACAAAATCCACTCCTTTTAAATCCCAGAGTCAAGTGAAATCAGGTGTTGCAGTAAGGATAATCACTCACCTGCAACCCTATGAATATAAGAAGGCAGAATTGCAGTAATTCTTATATCCCTTGGGTACTTTTTCTTCCTGAACATTTTTAAGGGCTAAGGGTAAAAACCAAATGACCCTATTTTGGGTACCTTCAACAAAGCCTATCTGAACATTCTAAAATCGTTTAAATACCCTTTCGGTACCCAAGCCTTATGAGGCTAAATGAACAAACCTAAATAGGCTATTAACCAAATTTCTTGGTTATTTTCGGTTATGTACAGTCACAAAAGAACAGATTTGCTGTATTCATAATAATTCATAATAAAAACTAAAATGACTTAAAGTGACAGTGTGTGTCAAATTGACTTAAAGTGGCTGTGTCAAAGATTTGTGTTCAATGGGAATCAGAATTGCCTAGCAAATAAGCCACCAATACACCAACTAAAGCCCTGTTTGCTACAGGCCGTGCAACTTAAAGATCCTTGACTGTTTGAAATTAAAAACGAATTAGGTCAAAAGGTTAATTTGAGAAATGTTCAAGAGGGCTGTCGTTAGACCCTAACTTAAGTTATTTTTAAAAATAAAAGGTAATAAAAAAGTGGAACGAAAGTTTGTTCTATTTTTAACTAGACTCCTTTTTTTTTTTAAACATCAAAGTAAAAATTATAACCTAATATGAAACCTAACCTCCACTTTAACCTACTGGATAAGAACCTAACAACCAATATCTAACAACTAATAATGATTACAAGCCAATACAAAAGCTAGAGTGACAAGGAGTGACAAATTACTCCTTAATAATCTTTATTATATTTACATAATGATAACAGACTGGTATAATGTTTCTAAATTGAAAATAAGACTTGATAATGGAGACTTGAAAAATTCTAAGTTAAAGAGATAGAGTAAAATAGAAAATAAAAATTTTGTAGCTGATAAAGCTCACTTTCAGCTGTCTGTATCACTTATCAATATGTTATTTCAGTCACTTATACATCTGTAATTCAACAAAATGAATTTGTTCTGAATTTACAGAGTATTCCTTTCTTGATTCAAGGGTCTATATTTGTCTGACTCTGTCACCCTTGAGGAACTCAAGATGAATCAATCCAAGTTCAGATAAATTGAATTTCTTCATGTAATCCTGCTGGATCAAAGGTTAGAATTGTTTCACTGACTCAGTCACCCTTGAGGAAACAATCTTAAGATGCGGGCACACAAACGGTCTTGGTTGGCGATTTTTATTGCCGACTAGAGTCTTGTCAGGAGTTTCGCTGACTGGCTGTGGACAAACGAGGAGACAAAAATCTTTAATCGGTCGTTTTCCACCATGTTGTTAATCACCTGCTGATCATGCAATTGAAAGGAAAATGAATCTGATTGGATTATGATGGTCTGTCTTACAGACGATAAAACTATCAGCGACAATTATCAAACTTGTCGGGCAAACGATAATCTTGTTGTGGAAGCATGGGCACACGTAAGATTTTACTCAAGACTCTAATCGGCGACAAAAATCTTCGACCAAGACATAAGAAGAAAATTTAAATTACCTTCTGTAGAGTCTACATTCTCCCAGGCTGCGGCTCCCCCTAATACATCATCAACTTCTTTTAACTTGGGGTATTTCTTGTGGCTTATCTAGTAGGAAAAAACATAAAGTTTGCAAGCAATTTCTATTAAATGAGACAGCTTCATCATTTTCAGGTGTTGAATATATGTAAATAGTCTTCAGAAGTACTAGAAATGTAAGAAAATCACATAATTCCATCAAAAATATCTCAAACTAGGAATTTCTAGTGTCTCAAGAAAGACGAGTCATCATTTTAACTTTCAAATGCGGATAATTCTGGACACACATGGATTTGAAGGCTCAAATTTCGACAGTGAACTGTGAACACTATTACTGATTGGCTTAGCTAAAAAATTCCTGTTTCTGAGACTAAAGTATGATTGCTCGAACAGATGCCAAACCTGTCCATCTAACATTAGGTTAAACTACCTTCAAACAAGAGAGTTGAATCTTAGTTTCAACTGTCATTATTAACATACTTGTTAATTAATTGCTCGAGAACTGCATGCCAAATTCTCATTCTGAAAAGTGTTAAAGATGGTTAAAAAAGATGCAGCAAAAAATTGAATATAAATTTCAAAACAAAAAATTCTACATCTTACTTTTCTAGTTATATTTTTAATGTAGGGGCAGGTATGACAGGCAAACCTGTATCCCTTATCACCTTCTTCCACAAACAAGAGGTTTGCACACGTTGGACAAAACCTCAACATCTTGTTTCAAACACCAGTTACAACTATCTAACCTACAACATATTAGACTTCAGTAGGCAGAATTGTTTCTAGCAAGAGACCAAAAAAATACGACATGCCCAAAGGAAGTGCCACCTTGGCTCAGTGAGTTAGACAATTGTTTGCCATCCAGGACCAGGGCAGAAGTTGATCAATAAAATTTTGTCAACGAGTGTAAATATTGTCATGGAGTTGTATTTTGTCTCCCGAGTTGACCAACAAAAATTTGTCCCCAAATGAGTTGACAGAGCACCAGCAGATGAATTCAATGACAGCATAGTTCATATAAAAGTACATTCCGATTTTCAACAAAGGCATGTGCTAGTCATTTGCACGGGCATAGAACTGGCTTCATTTCGTCTGCCATCATTCGTTCGTAATATCACAAAGTGTTTTAATCAGCCATGAAAATTGAAAGATGAGAATTGAAAGAAGGGTTTGCTTGTTTGGCTCGTTTTTTTAAAATATTTTACTAGTTTCGGAAGATGTGAGTGCAATTTAGGTTCCGATCGGCGATTCGTGAACAATTCAGGTTAATCTTACCAAATTTACGTTGATTTAGGCACTTCGTCTTGAATTTCATTAAATTTCATGTGTTTTTGTTTACATCACGTGTTTCCGGTCAGGATCGAAAGCTCCGCAGTAAATTAGTAATGATTATCCAGACGGAAATATTGAAGAATTTTTGAAGTCTGGATATAAGAGAAGAAAAATAATTACAAAAATTAATTAATCATGAAAATTAATTAGTATTTAGAAAGAAATTATGCAGAATAATAATATTAGTGATAATAATATAATTTTAGGATTTTTTTTGTTTTGGCCAAAAATAACTAGTGGACATTTTCTGCTGCTTTTCAAAATGGCGGCGCCCAAGAATGAAACCACGTTTCATAGACTTATGCTACTTAAGTAGGCTTAATCGCCTTTGAAACTTGCTATTTCTTTGTGACAACTTCATAGGTTAAGACAGAAGTCATTTTGACATAATTTGAATCGATTGGTACGGATTTTAAGGCAAAAATTCAAAGAAAAATATCGAAAATGTTAAGAGGAGGGGGTGGATTTTGAAAATGGCATGTCGACTTTTTTTGAGCAAATTTTAAGATGATTTTTTGTTCTTTTAGAGATGACAGAAGAAGAGTTAATAGTTAAGATAAAGCAGGAACATGAGAAATTGCAAGTGAAACCAAAACAAGGCGCTGTAGAAGAAGAAAACACAAGTCTATCTCATTATGACGCCATGCAGAAAGTTCAAGACATTTTGGCCAATTTGATTCCTGTAAGTTGATGAAACACTCTGAAGGTCTGTCTCAGACCTCATCCAAATATGACAAGAGTTTGTTCCATTCTGCTAGGTGTAACCACTTCCAAAATTTTATTGGGGTTTGTCCCTAGTCTGCATCTGAAATGACACCCAAAGTAAAGCTATTGTAAAAACTCAGTAGGTTTAAAGAAGGTTTGCTAATTTAACATTTGAAATAAACCTACATCCCTACATTTTTATTAACCTAGAAACAGTTTTGAGGATGACTTCTCTGTTTGGAGTTGAAATTTCATTTCACATAAACATGATTGACAAGATTAGGCAAATTTTTCACAATAATGTTTGTTTTACAGGCTGACCCACTACTTCAAGATCTTCCCCCTCAAGTTACTTTAGAGGAAGTCAACTCAATGATAGCTTTAGAACATGGACAGGCTATGGTAGTTTATGTTAGGAGAGCAGACGACATTGTTATGCGTAAGTACATCTCCATGTAGCCTGAAAAATCTAGCCCTACCCTAACAAATCTGACCTTACCCTGGTCTCGACAAGCTGGCCCTGCCCTAGCCCGACAAACTGGCCTTACCCTAGCCTTGACAAATGTAGCACTACCCTAGCCCTGACAAATCTGGTCCTACCCCAGCCTGAGAAATTTGGCCCTACCCTAGCCTATCCTGACAAATCTGGTCCTACTACCTAGCCTGAGAATTGTCGTCTTACTCGTTCCTTGGACATGTTACATTGTTGTTTTCTTATATTGAATAATTTTGAATTTTTTTTTAGCTATTGTAGTGGTACAGGATGCGACGGTGTTACAATTAAAAGAGGCTATTAAAAGATATGTGGTGTTGAAACAATCGCGAGCCGGAGACACACAACATCTTAGTTGGTATGTACTTTCTTTTGCTTTCTCTTGCTGGTGGAAAAAGCGTCTAGTCGTTTGGCTGGGACAATAAACCAAGTCCCTAGGTGCTACAGGCTGTGCACGTTAAAGATCCCTTGACAGTTCTAAATCGAAAAAAGAGCAGACTGTCCTGGCAATATGTCCCTCATTGCACAGTGTTTGACATCAGATTGAATTGGTGTTTATGTTAAATGTTTGATTTCTAGGAAATATATTTGGAGAAGGTTTTGGCTGTATTTTGATAATCAGAAATTAACAGAAGATGGAAAGTGCTTGAAAGAGTAAGTATTCTTTTCTTTTTTAGATTATTACGTGTTTTAGGTTGACATTGAAATGGGGTTTGGTCTAACCCACTTTAATGATCCTGTCCTGGCATAATTTCCCTTATTGCACACTGCATTGCATGTCTACAATTTCCCTGATTCTTTGCAGAAAAGTAACAAAGATGTAACTCCATTTCTTAAATTGTAGACAAATTGAATGCGAGATTTATATTCTAAATTAAATTAGATTAAAGGGATTGTAGAGAAGTTTATCAATGACACTGATAGCATCAATTCTCCACTTTTCAATCAGACGTCTGTGGTTCCTGCAATTCCATTAAAACTAAGTGTTTGATGACGTCACTAATAGTGAAGGGTCTTATGTGATAAAGCATATTTTGCTATTAGTGACGTCATCAAACACTTAGTTTTAGTGGAATTGCAGGAACCACAGACGTCTGCTAAGCTGTACTTGGGTCATATGTTTTCCCTGATCTTAGATCTATATTTTTTAACTTGTTTCACCAGATATGGCATAAGAAATAAATGTGAAGTTACGTTTGTTAAGAGACTACAATCCAAATAAGAAGAAATGAAAAGTGATACAGTCACGAGACAAGGAGGATACAGAAAGGCTACCCTTGCAATTCAAGAGGTTGTGAAGAGGTTGTTCAACCCTTCAAGGAGATATTCATAGATTGGTGGAAGGGGTTGACAGACTCTTGAAGCACCTGCCGAGGTATGAGAGCTTTTCATATCTTGAGGAGGACCATATGGCCAAGAAGAGGACAATCCAACTTGCTACCATCATAGCAGAGGACAAACTTGCTACAGACTGAGCTATTCCACTCTCCTAGCAGACAACAATCCAACTCTCTACCTAGTGAGCTATTCCACTGTCCTAGCAGAGAACAATCCAACTCACTACCATCAGAGCTATTCCACCCACTGCCAGAGAGACAGAGAGTGAAAGGGAAATTTCAAGATCCATAGAGGTGGACTGCCTGATTCTTATAGTGACCCACCAACAGCCCATGGAAATTGTGTGCCAGCAGAAGACTGCTTTGAAGCTAGGTCATTTTTGGTGTCATTTTGTGATGAGCATATCCAGGCTACTATTCTCAGAACGATCTTAGCTAGGAATGATCCTAGGCACTTTGGACAGGTATTAAGACATATTACTTTAAGATTCTGTCTATTCTGTTTCCAGGACATCCTAGTGCTAAGATAGTTTTGAGAATACGCTGTGCTGGAGGATAAAGGAAGAAATTATTGTAAATTATTGTAAAATATTATTTAATGGATAAAAAATGATCACAACTAAGATAAATGATTGTAATAAATATATTATTCTCTTTCACAATATTATTATGTTAGTTTTCCAACATGGCTTCAATCAGAGGTGTGTCTGTCTCACTGTCTGCTTTGATTGACATGTGTCCATAAGGCTAAGTACTGCGTTCCACATGTCTTTGGCCAAGTCCCGCCTACTGTATTTCTTGCAACCAATACAGTCCTTCATATGTCTAAGGTCAAGGACCACCCTTCATATGTACCACCAAGCATACAGAGGGTGGTACTTGCCCTTAGACATACAGAGGGTGGTACTTGCCCCAAGACATACAGAGGGTGGTACTTGCCCCAAGACATACAGAGGGTGGTACTTGCCCTAAGACATACAGAGGGTGGTACTTGCCCTAAGACATACAGAGGTGGTACTTGCCCTAGGACATACAGAGGGTGGTACTTGCCCTAGGACATACAGAGGGTGGTACTTGCCCTAGGACATACAGAGGGTGGCACTTGTCCCAAAGACATACAGAGGGTGGCACTTGCCCCAAGACATACAGAGGGTGGTACTTGCCCTAAGACATACAGAGGGTGGTACTTGCCCCAAGACATACAGAGGGTGGTACTTGCCCCAAGACATACAGAGGGTGGTACTTGCCCTAAGAGGGTGGTACTTGCCCTAAGACATACAGAGGGTGGTACTTGCCCTAAGACATACAGAGGGTGGTACTTGCCCTAAGACATACAGAGGGTGGTACTTGCCCTAAGACATACAGAGGGTGGTATTTGCCCTAAGACATACAGAGGGTGGTACTTGCCCCAAGACATACAGAGGGTGGTACTTGCCCCAAGACATACAGAGGGTGGTGCTTGCCCCAAGACATACAGAGGGTGGTACTTGCCCTACTGAGGGTGGTACTTGCCCCAAGACATATGAAGGGTGTATGTATGTCATAGGACAAGTACAACCCCCCCATATGTCTTGGCACAAGTACTATCCCCCATATGTTTTGGCACAATTACAACCCCCCATATGTCTGGCACAAGACAACCCACC